TCTTTCGTTTATTCATCGGATAGTAATTTTTTGTATTGGATATTGAGTAAAGACTATATTTTAACTGAGTATTGTATGAACTTCTATAGAAGCTAAGTGATATAAATATGATGACATTTTATCTATATCTTTTTTAAGCTTTTGTTTGATTATTATTTTCTAGTCGTACCCTAATGTTTTTGTATTTTCACAGAAAACACATGTAGTTTCATTGTCAATCTTCTTTAATTGGTTTACAGAACAATCATCTCAACAAAAATTTTGCAACCAAATCAGGATTATCACTTGCATTTTTTTATTAAGTCAAGGTTTTTCATCATTTATTTTTAATTTAGGATTCGCTGTCAGTGTAATAAGCAAATTAGGAATTTCTTTCAGAAATGTATCAACAAATAAATTCTGAAAAAAATTATGCATGTTTTTTGGACGGCCGTATTAGCTTAAAGGTTTTTCCTGGGATCATGGCTTCACCATTTTCATTGCATAATAGTAACTTTGAATTTATTGCTAACTCTATAATTAAATGCCACGTCTCCATTATGTATCCAAATTTGTATCAATTGTGGTATTTCACCATTAGTTGGTTCTAAGTTTCCTAAATAATGAAAAACCTTTCCATATATACTTTATATATACTTTTATGACTGGAGGTTCTCAAAACATAGTTTCATTGCCAGATTACTCCATGAGGTAAACAAAAAACTGTATAAAAGAATATTTTCTTTGAATGCTTTACTTCGTTAATCTTTATCTGTAAGTATTCGCTAAAAAAATGCATATACAACAACTTTAAGGAGGGGGGACACCCCTTACGCCCCCCGTTTGGGATGGTCCTGGCTACAGTTACCTTTCTCATTCAATTCATCTCGAAAAGGCACGCATATCTGGTCTATTGATCCACAGTAACAATTGTTTACATAAGTTGTAGCTACCAACTTAAATTTTTCACTTTAAACGCAGCTTTTTCCTGCTGACCCTTTTTTATTAATTTAGACTCTTTTAGGCTGTTTGTTGTCAGTTAACCATCATTGTACGTGCATACGTCTTTTCTTCACAGCTTTACATTTCCTTTTTCTCATCTTAGCTAAATCACAGTCATCTAATTCTTCTTTATCATTGGCTTAACTTTTCTGGGATGATAAGTCTAATAAAGATGATAAGCTTTTCTATGCAATTTAATCAACTCATTATCATTCAAACCATAATTAACTTTTGGTTTACTTTTCTAGGTTGATAATATTGCTTTTCTACAAAATTCAGCTTGTTCAAATTCAGATTTATATTAGCGTCAGCTTTCTTTTTTCGCAGCAATTTGCTTTGCTTAGCCAATTTATCATAGAGTTTATTTAATAAACGCTTTGCTTTACTACATTCATTTTCTTTAGCATTGTTAGAAATAGATACTGATCATTCATCTGCCTGTTCTGATCGAGCTACTATATCTTTTAAAGATATAATAACTTTATATAAAAAAAGACCCAATTCCAATTTGGGTACTTTTTTAATTTGGAAAACTTTCTTAAAATAAATTAAAACTTTTTTAAAACAAAAAAAATGACGTAACTGTAATTGAAATAAATCAAAAATAAATAAAAGCTTCCAAAATCTATATATATATTTTTTGTTTGACTTGATAGACGTTCAATAGACGTACAATAACGCTAAGATAAAAACCGTTGCACAATAAACTATACTATTGTAAAGAAAACACAATAAAGATGACGTCAAACCAGCGAAACGTTAGTATCGATTAAAAATTAATTTTTTTTTTCTGCAACACGAACATTTAAATAAATTTAAATTTAAACGAACAAACCGAACAATTAAATAAATTTTAAAAAAATAAACAATTAAATTAAGGAATCATTCACCAATCAGTATTACACTGCTAACGAAAATAGGAGTCATTAACTATTCTGTGGTGAGCTGCTAACACAATTAATTAATTAATCAATTAATTAAATAATTAATTCAGAAATTAAAGCCCTTTTTTTTAACATAATTTGTGATTAATTGTATTTCTTCATTTTATCAAAAAAATAATTGTTATCTAATATATTATATAACTTAATAAATAAGTTATACAATATACAATAGTATGTATACACAATTATTATGCTCGTGCGCGCGCGCGTGTATGTGTATTAATAATTTATCTCGCTTAATAATAATTTAATTGTTCATTTTGCCATCATTTTGCCAACGACATCAATATTCTATACATCAATAATGCTTTCAAACCTTTTCAGATCTCCATCATTAGTGTAATTAGCTGAATAATAACAGCATTCTTTAAATAGCTATAAAAATTTCAACCCCCCCCCCACACACACACACACACCGAAAATTCCTGGATCCGTCGCTGTTTATAAAGTCAATTACTTATACGATGTTCTCTTGCCGACTATTGCTGTACCGGTACTGTTTGGGAAAGTGAGTTTTTTTTGAATTGCATAAACAGTCTACAATGTACTTTTATAAAAGTTATGATCTTTTCTTGATCTAATTTCTAGAAAAGATTTTTTTGATCTAGAAAAGCTTAATAAATATCATTATTATTATCAAAACTATTGTAAAAATGACTAACGGAAAATAAATAACTTGTTGTTGTTGTTGTTGATGTTGTTGTTGCTATCGCAAAGAAAAAAAAATTTCAACTAAATATCCTTTTTCAGTGACTTTGTTCTACTCAATAGAAACCAACTTTTTTTTTAATGTGTTTTTCAATGGAATCGATACTATTTTTATCTTAGAAATTATATTTGTAATTACTATTGTTTCATAATGCTACTACTAATAAAACTATTACTATTTTTATATTTTTATTTTCTTTACTATTGTTAATTCGCTAATATTACAGTTAATTCCCGATAACTCGAACCTCTAAAGGACCAAGAAAAATGGTTCGATCTAACGATTGTTCGACTAAAGTCGAACTTTGGCTGATATAAGAAACTAGTTCGAGTCAAGGCGATTTTTCTTTAGCCAAAGTGTATACATTAAATTTACACCATTATAGCAATGTTTCAAAAAAAGTAGTTTCGTGTTGTATTCACTCTGTAAAGTCAAAAGATAACATTCGAAAAAGTTTAGCGATACAATGACTTCCTTATCATTTAGCAATAAATTGCGTGTAAGAAGTTCTGTTCTCTTATTTAGAAATTCATAAAACTCTAAAATAATAGTTTGTTTCTTTAAAGATTTTATTATAGCATAATTTTACGTCTGATAACAATCCATACTAAGACGAAAAAATGAAAATGTTAGACTTCAATTATTTTTATTTCACATGGAATGATTTCAAGGGACCAAATACTGACGATTTAAAGGGACCAATTGAAAAGTCGAGATAATAAAAGTTCGAGTAAACCGGTGTTCGACTTACTGGGAATTAACTGTATTATTATTATTATTGCTATTATTATTATCTTATTATTATTTTGTTATAAAATTATGTTACTTAACAAGTATTTTATATTATTGAAGATTCTGTAATTATAACAGCTTTCGTTACTCTGCAATATTAGTTGTGATAACTTTACAATTATTGCTTTAACTATTTTAGTAACTCTTATGTTTATTTTAATATTTTGGTAGTTGTATAGGTTGTATTTTTGGGTTTTTTGAAGTTTTTTAGTCTGAATAAAGAGATTAAAAAAAAAAATTAAGCGAAGTTTAAGTGAAATTTGGCTAAAATATCTATTATGCAAATTCTGTTTTTGCTTTCTTGTAAAATTATGTTTTAGTGAGATACATCCCATTGCCGTATAACTACCGATTTATTATAATTTATAAAAAGTTAACTGTTTTTACGATCGCTTATTAATATGTAATAACTTGTAATATACATAGTATTTTGTTGGAGAGGGGGGGGGGAGGGTAGCCGCAATTTTGGGGGCCTTAATTGAGAATAAAAGATTAAAAATAAAATCATTGATTACTGACATGGATAGGGGTCTCCTGCTTTAAAATAGCCCCTGGCGCCGAAAAGTCTTAATCCGCCATATTGTTATGTATTATTATTATTTTGTTATATTATTTTATCATTGTTATTAATTATTAGCGTCATGCGTTTATGTGTGCGTGTACGTGAGCGCGTTTTTCCAAAATATAAAAACAAAATTTTTTTACGGTATAATAATACAATAATCGCGATTTAAGCATTTAGTTAACTAAAAAAATAATCAAAACATGTTTTTCATAATTCACTAAAAAGCTTTATTATTTTATAAAAATTATTTCTATTGTTTTGCTTTATTTACGACTTCCGCTACATTGAGAAATACTTATTAATGACGTAACGCTTACGTTAAATTGTAGATTTATAGTTTAGAAAAAGAAAAGAAAACACAATGCGGCTACTTAGCAATACTTAAGACATGAACCGAGTTCAACGCATAGTTTTTCAGCTTTGCGTTTATTGTTTAGGCATTCAATAAGTAAATAAATTTACTTAACTAAAATTCCTAAAAAAAATTCCTAGAAAAGATTGCGCAAGAAATATTTTGCAGTTATAGAAATTTAATTGTTAAATCGTGATTATAAAAAATCGTTAAATAAATATTATTATATGCATTTTTTTGCTATTTAAACCCAAATTTGCTATTAAAACCCAAATTGACTGTTTTTCGTCAAGTAAACAACTAACGAATTTTAAAAAAAAAATTTTAGCAAGTATTATTTTTATACTATTTTGCTATTTAAACCTGAATATATTTTATCAAAATAATGCACGGCAAACAACGAATTTAAAAAAACTTTTTTCACTAAGTAACATACTAAATTAGTTACTTATTCAGTTTTCATTAGAATAAAATAAAACCTAGTTTGTCGACGATCTTACAATGTTCGCAAGCGAACCTTAAAAAAAATAACGTCGTTTGAAAAACACATTTGAGCCTATAAAAAAAAATGTCAATGTTGCTTGAAAAAATAAACTACAATCGCGCTAAAAAATAATAAACCACTATCGTGAGAAAGCTTTTATAAAAAACAACATATAAAAGCTAATATAAAATTAGTCTAGTATTAGTAATCAAATCTTAAAAAAATGAGTAATCCAAATTGGTTCATAAAAGCGTACGAGATAATAATAAAAAAACGTCTAAAAAAAATCCACAAACGATAAACTTCACATATTCACAATTTGTCTTTTTATTTCCAGTTATAAAATTTGGTTTTTACATGTTTACTAATTATAAAAATAACTCTGGTTTACATAATATTTATGTCAGCATGCGCTTGAAAACTCTAAAAAAAAGTAAATAAAGTCACCCAATGGATATTTCTGTTATAACAATTACAATAATTTTTTAACACTATCGTTCGACGATACTAAATATTACTTTAAAAATAAAGTTAAATTATAAGAACAAAACTTCTCGAGCTTACAAATCTCTTTTTACGAAATATTGGTGATAAATAAAAAATTTAGCCAGATTAAAAAAAAAGAAGCTCTTTTTGAACACGATTTCTAAACTAAAAAAAATAAAATAAAAGATCTTGAGCATGGGCTGATAAAACCCTTATACAAGATGACCAAAATATGATTTAATTTTTTAAAATCCTCTTGGAGGTTTTGAAAATCCATTTGTTAGATATTAACAAACTAGACTTCTATATAGAATTCAAAAAAGTACAACTCAAAATTTGCAAACCTTCAGCATAGTTTTCTCTGCATCCTTTGCAATAGAAACACTCAAAACGAAAGTATTGAAATGGTTGAATGCACAAGATGTAAAACAACAAATCTTTAAATGAAACTCAGATGACAAAATTAATGTCAAATATTAAAAGCAATATATATATATATAAAAAAAAAAAAAAAAAAAAAAAAAGTTTAACCAACACCATTTTGACATTGGTTCATGTGAATTGTGTTTAAATATCACAAAGCAGTTACTATACTACAAAGTAGAAAAAATAACCTAAAATAAATCTTTACTATTGCCAACGCTAAACTATATTTATATTTTGATTTAAGATTTTTCAACACAAAATTGTTTAGAGCCTAACCCCATATTTCTTACAAAAGACGAAAACAATTAAAATGCTAGTTGTACTTTTTTGGTAGGCTTTTATAAACACGTAACTTCTTAAAAAAAAACAACATTAGCATGAATATGAAGCTACTTCAGGAGTATTCCATGAACCAATTAAAACATATTCATTATTCCTATTATTTGGAATTGCATAATGTTGAGTCGGGTAATATGTGTGCCTGTAGTTGTCAGTATAAGAATGCATGTAAGGAGGAACAGAATAAAAAACAGTTATGTGCTGATAGTTTGAAGGTTGATAGACTTGATTAGTAAGATTTGTTATCATACAAAGAGTCTGTCGCCTCTCATGTCCCATTAAACAAACGGTTGACTTTTCAATAACATTATGAAGTATTGTTAGGTATTTATATCGCTTATTATTGTTCTCTAAATCGTGGCTTTGTAAATACCTTTCTAGTTTTTGCTGTTGTGAAGGCACATCCTTGAAGTCAATAAAAAATCTGCTACACATGTATTTTTCCATGTTTCTAATTTCTTCAGAAACAGGTTTAAAGTCTCTACATAACAAACTGCAATACTTCATCAATCCACCACCTCTAATTTCTTCAGGATTCTTTGTAGCTATTAGTTTATTTCTTAAATGATATCTTGCTTCCTCAAAGTCACCATAAACTGACTCAGCTTTAACTGATGGATATAAAGTTGGTGACATTTTTATATCGTTTTGAAGATCCTGAAATTTTATCAATGAGTCCAACAAAATTTGAAATGAATCAACAGAAAATTCAAACTTTCTTTTCATGGAATCCACAAATTTAAGTTCAATATTACGACCTTGGTCATTTGTAAGAGAAATTAAAGACCAGTTATCTTGTTTGTTTGTAATTTTAACCATTTTTCTTACATATGCTTCGTTCATAGTACAACCAGACATTCTTTCTTTAGATACCTCAGCTGGTAAGAAGTCCATCAACGTTTCAAGAACACTATCTTTAACTTTCATAAAATCTGACGAAGATTTTAGATTTATATTAAAAATCAAGTCTAAGTCATTATAAGTATAGTTATCGTGATCTTCATTTTGTCCATTTAAAACATAACTGGCGGTACTACCATTAAGTCTATAATCTGTTATACTAAGTTCTTGAAGTAATAATTTTGCAGTCAGTTGCTTGATGAAGTCTTTTGGTTTAACTTCTAAAGTAGGAAAGTTTCCTCGACCGTGAACCTGTATGACACTTCCTAAAACTTCTTCAAGTCTGCATACTTCTTCGTAATCCAAAATATACATTTTGTTTGAATCCATAATATATATATACTTATAGATTTTTAAATAAAATTCAGTTTTCAAGCATCAATTTAATAAAACTAATACCTTCAGAGAATCTGCTGAAGTGGCCTCGTTTATTAGTCTACTTATATTTCAAAACACGCTCGTGTTCAATCTCCTTGATTGCTCGAATATGATTGGAGTCTAAATTTTGTTGCCAGGCAAAGATGAAAAATGTTTTTTAATGAACAAACATATTATACAAAATAACACTTTTTAAATATGTAGCTTATAAATCAAGCAAGTGTGACCAATCAATATTATTCTCAACAAACAAACAGAAAAACGCATTTCACTGCTTTCGTTCGTCAAAACCGCCTCTGCAAACGCGAAGTTATATTTAAAAAGCGATTGTGCAACTAATTAAATCGTAATTTCGTGTTTATCCTCAACTAAAGTGTTTTTTTTTTATGTTTTACGTGTTTCAACGAAATAGGAATACTGTAGTTTAAAGAACTATTCTGTTCATAAAATTATGTTTTTTTTTTTTGTGCATATTTATATCCTAGCGAGTTTTTTTTTTAAATATTTATAAGTGTGATATAATGTAATTTTCAAATAATAATTAAAAAAAACTGTGAACCGATTTAATAAATATTTTAAGACTAAATATTTTCTTGCTGAATGTATCAAAAAATAAATAATTGAGATAGAAGAATGGTCCCAGACATTTTTTTTTTTTTTAAATGTTTCCCCTCTATTCACGAAAGCGCATTGATCAAATAGAAATTGCTGAAAATAATTTATTTTTTCCAAAAATATCAAACGTTTATTTTGCGGTCAAGAGTCGATTCTTATTTGAAAAAAAGTTATCGTTTGAAATTTCGTTTAAATTTATTATAACAGGTGTTACATCTTTTTTATTTATTTATTTATTTATTTTTTAATTATATTATTAACTGTTTAACTGTTTATCTGTTATAGAAAAATCGCTTACACTGTAGTTATAAAAAAAAGTTTAAAAACGTTTGGCAAGCATTGCATTTTTCCTGTAATTGGTTTTATAAAATTATTATTATTATTATTATTATTTTGTAAATTTATTGAGGGCTTCTCTTATTTTCAAAAATAAAATGCTACTTAATTAAAAACTGACAATAGTTATTGCAATAACTCATAAACTGCTCAATCTAACAGAATACATCCGACCGGAAATTTTTTGTGTTTAACATTTGATTGCAAAAAGTGAAAACTTGATAACAGAAATAAAAAACGTTTGAAATCGTTTTGCTGATAACAATAGAATATAAGATTGTTTTTTTTCCTTTTGTGCTTCAGTGAATTAATTATAACTTTTAAATAATAAAACTACTGAAAAGACGATTCACATGAGTTCAGACAAAAAATAATCAGTCGGAATTCTTTTCCTTCCTACGATTACGTTGGAATTTTTTATGAGTTCTTTATTAGTTATTTGTTTACTTTTTAATAAATTCTATTAATTACCAAAAGCGAAAACGAAAGCTTTTTGCTAGAAAACATTTGTTCATAAATACTGGGTTTAAACTTAAAGTCAAGCAGACATGTTTAAATTTTTTTCAAAATATTTCAAAACTCTACGCGTTATTTACACGAGCTCTCTTTAGAATCATGTGATATTTTCTTAACTGTGTTTGATCAAGAAACAGCTTTTTTCAAAAATAAATGTCTCTTACTTGTTGTTTTTATTCATCTATCTAAATATATTTTTTTGTATTTTATTTAAATATTACAATATTTATAAATTTTTCAACAATTTTTAAAATTTAAAATATGGCGTTAAAATTTAAAATATGGCGTTTTATACGCCCTGTAAAAAAAAAATCCTTTACAAGTTGAAATAATTTTTAAATCTTAAAAATATATATCTTTTTTAATCTTGTAAAAACATGTGAACTTACCAATGACTTGTAATTTGAATGTCAATGGTAAAATAACTGATGTTTTTCATGAATCCTAGTCCGACTAGGATTCATGAAAAACATCAGTACAACTAGAAGTCGTAATCAATTATTTTCTTAATGTTTTAGTGGTGTTAGAGTTTTTATTTTTTTTTTAATGTTTATAATCTTTTTCGACAAATACGAACTTTTTAGGTGTGATAACACTTACATAGTCAATTTCGAAAGGAGTCAACAAATCTATAGTCTCTAGCTATAGGACTACTAAATAAATTTCTTAAATCTTAATGCAGCCAATTTATTTATTCATTTAGATTAAGTCAAATTAGTGGAAAAGTCCATTTTGCCATAGCAACCTTGTAAATATATTTATTTCATATATTAAAGTTAATAAATATCGCGCATTTTCAATTGTGGTTAATTTAGTGGTATTTATAAATATTTTTGTTTATATAAATAAACATTATTTTTTTGTTTAACATATTTAAAATATTTTATTTGCACTCTGGAGGTAAAATGAGTAACTCTAACAGAGATAATAGCATATAAAAAAAATTTACAACTGAAATAAAAAGCAACATTTTAAAACATTATAACAAATAAGGAATGGGTAGTGAGGTTGGTTTCTATTTTGATAAACATGAAAAGACTTTTTGTGAATTTTTGGCTATAAAATTACTTTTTGGCGATAAAATTTCATGATTATTGGCTGATTGATAAAATTTCATGATTATTGGCTGGTTCCTTTCTGTTGAATGTTATCTACATACACTGAGGGCTAATACTATGCAACAAGGGGCTCTGGTGTCGCTAAAATTTGAGGCCCTGTTATTATATATAATATACCCAGACTTATTTTTGTAACTTTCATTATCAGCAAAAAAACAAAACATTACAAATGACAACAACAATAACGAGAAAAACAACCGCAATTATATGCAATAATATAAAATTGTGAAATATTGTTTATATATTAAGAAGAAATGAAAACTAGCAACAAAAGTTATGCTTTCACAAAGAACCATATTGTTAACATTATTTCATACACATGCTAGTGCCTTATAAGAACTCGCCGTACTTTGGTTTTTTCAAACGTTTTAAAATATCATCTTTTAAATTATTGTTACCAGCAATATCGGTTATGAAACAGTATTTAATAACCTTAGGCTTCGATAAGCTTTTTTGCCCAGAGGCTATAATATTCAGCACATTCAGCCGACACATTTAACTAAATGTGCCAATTATTTTAGCCTCAGAAACTAGCTAGTTTTATTTTCAGAATAAAAACCTGTATAGACACGTGTTTGTCACAATACAGACGTAAACAAAAACACATTAAGATCATGGGCAGTTATGCTCGAGTTTAACGATTGATTTATGTTATTTTAAAGTCAAATTTAAATGTCGCGTGCTCTTTTTACTGGTTTCACATTCTCAACGGAAACAATAAAATATTTTACTACGTTTCCGTAACGGTAAAACTATTAATAAAAACTTAATATCCTAATTGGTGTTTCAGTAAATAGTAATAGTTAATTTCACGAAGTTAAAACTGTATTGACACGTATCTTTTTGTTTTAAAGGGATTTTTAAACACGCAACATAAAACATGCTTAACCTTCTACGAATAAGTGTCGGCTGGACAGTTATGTAAAGTTATATAATTATATAGCCACACGCAAATCAGAAAAATTTTTTAAAATTCCCTTAATGACATTTGAATTCATGAAAAAAGAAGAAATTTTATTTTTTATTTTGCTTTAGAAAGATGGGACCCCCTGAAAAAGTTGTGCCCTGGTGCGGCGTAACCCTTGTACTTCTCTGTTGACTTTCACTTAATATAGTAACATTTTATGTATTTTCTACACCTTTTTGTATCTGGTATTAAAAAAAATTTAAAAAAAAACTATTTTAAATTATTTTTTTAAAAGTTATTTACTGTAGCTTATTTTTGTTTCCAAATACTATTTTTGTTTCCAAATACTTCTTTAACTAACTGTTTAAACAATTATTAAACGAAATTTGTAACCACCTATAGCTTTCAAACTTGAACAAATATTAGAAATTTTGTTTTTTCCGTAACTTTTACTGTTTAGTTTAACAATTGCCGTATAATCGATATCACCTACTCTTGAGTCTGTAATACAAGGGGGGAATAAAAGTAAGGAGTGGGGTGGGGGTTGGGAATTTTAATAAACGGGTGGGGTGGGGGAATTTTTTATGTTACAATATAAGTTTTTTTTTATAAAAAATTTCAGTTTACAAATCCAAACTAATATTTTTTAAAAACACATATAAAATTGTTTAAATCTAGAGTGGCTTGCGCACTTTCTAGCAGCTGTTTTATAATAATTTCAATAGGATTTAATATGCTTATATAAGTTATATACTTTAGTAAGAAATAAATTGAACGCTGTATTTCGAAAACGAGTCACAAAATTAAAACTTTACAGAGAGTGAAAAATGTTTCTCCTGTAAAAAATTTTATCTAAAAAATTTTGCTTTTATCTTAAAAAAATCTTTATTTTATCTAAAAAAATCTTTATTTTATCTAAAAAAATCTTTATTTTATCTAAAAAAATCTTTATTTTATCTAGAAAAATCTTTATTTTATCTAGAAAAATCTTTATTTTATCTAAAAAATTTTACCTTTTCCTAAAAATTTTTTTTTTTCAAATAACCTCACTTTTGAAAAAAGTGTGACTCGTCACGTTTTCGAAATACAGCATTCAATTAAAAGCTCATTTTCGACAAATCGAGATTTACTTGGTCGGCGATTTTCAAAGCCGGTTTACACTAAAAGTTTTTGTTTTCATCAGTAACTGAATCAATTATTTTCTAATTTTTAAGGTCGATTTTCACAGACTTTTTTTTTGACAACAAGTATAAGTTAATAAACGGAGGAGGAGGGGGGGAAGGGGGTTCTTAATAAGCTTGGAGTGGGTGGGAAAATTTTAGAAAAATAATAAACGCTCCCCCCCCCCTCCTTTTATTAGGGACTCGGGAGTATAAGTCTATGATTTCTTTATATGTTTTTAGTTTAACCTTCTACTGGTTACTAATGAGGTTTTTTTAATAAAAAGTTTTTATTTTGCTATTTCTTTGGATTAATTGGCTTTAAAAAGTTTAATATTAATATAATACGACGCAGATGCACAAATATAAAAGAACTGTTTTTGGTTCGCAACTTTTT